CCTCAGCCTCCCAAAGGCGCGGGATTACAGGCTGAGCCACCGAGCCCGGCTTTGATTTTTGATTTATTATAGAGACGAGGTCTTGCCAAGTTGGCCAGGTGGGTCTCGAACCCGCAAGCTCAGGCAGTCCACTTGCCTCGGCCTCCCAAAGTGCTGGCATTACAGGCTGAGCCACCAAGACCAGCCCACTTTTTTTTTTTAATTGTAGAGACAAGGTCTCGCCAAGTCTTCCAAGCTGGTCTTGAACCCGCAGACTCAGGCAATCCACTCTCCTCAGCTTCCCAAAGTATTGGGATTACAGGCTGAGCCACCAAATATATTACTAAGAGAAAAACAGACCACAGCAGATAAATAAGCAAAGAGTAATAATAAACATATATACTTTTTAAGACCTCTTCCCCATATATATAATTTTTAAATATCATTGTCACGGCCGGGCACAGTGACACAAGCCTATAATCCCAGCACTTTGGGAGGCTGAGGTGAGAGGATTGTTTGAGTCCACGGGTTCGAGACCAGCCTGGGCAGCATGGTGAAACCTCGTCTCTACAATAAGTCAAAAAATTAGCCAGGCATGGTAGCGCACGCCTGTAGTTCCAGCTACTTGGAAGGCTGAGGCAGAAGGATCACCTGAGCCCAGCAGGTCAAGGCTGCAGTGGCTGGGAGCATACCGCAGCACTCCAGCCTGGATAATGGAATGAGACTTCAACTCAAAAAAAAAAAGAAAAGAAAAATCGTTGTCACATATAAAATTAGCTTGTTTTCCCTCCTCCTGACCTCATATTTTTCTATTAACAAACGTTTCTACAAGAAAATACAGTAACACATCATCTTCTGGATGCACATATGCAGATACCTTGGTTAAGAATAGTATCTATAGCTGGGTTTGGTGGCTCAGCCTGTAATCCCAGCACTTTGGGAGGCTGAGGCTAGTGGATTGCCTCAGCCTGTGAGTTCAAGACCAGTCCAAGCACCTTGGTGAAGCCTCGTCTCTGCAATAAATAAAAAATTGGTCTGGCATGTTATCACATGCCTATAGTTCCAGCTATTTGGAAGGTCTGAGGTGGAAGGATTGCCGGAGCCCAGCAGGTTGCCTAACCCAGCAGGTCGACCCTGGGGTGTCCATGAGCATGCCACTGCACTCCAGCCTGGGCAATGGAGTGAAACTCCAACTTTAAAATAAAGAACAAGCCGGGCTCGGTGGCTCAGCCTGTAATCCCGCGCCTTTGGGAGGCTGAGGTGAGTGGATTGCCTGAGCCCGCAGGTTCGAGACCTGCCTGGGCAGCGAGACCTCATCTCTACAATAAAAATTTTTTTAAAAATCAGCCAGGCGTGGTAGCGTATGCCTGTAATTCCGGCTACTCAGAAGGCTGAGGCGGAAGGATCGCTGGAGCCCAGCAGGCGAGGCTGCGGTGGCCGGGAGTGGCCACTGCACTCCAGCCTGGGCGACCAAGTGAGACTCAACTCAAAAAAAATAAAAAAAAATAAAAAATAAAATAAAGAACAGTATCCAGAAGTACACACACGTGTATGTACAATAAAGTACACCCACAAATGTAGATCACTTACTAGTAAGTATATATGCTTAGGTGGGCACAGTGGCTCACACTTGTAATTCCAGCACTTTGGGAGGTGGAGGTGAGAGGACTGCCTGAGTTCAGGTGTTCGAGACCAGTCTGAGCAACATAGCGAGACCTTGTCTCTACAATAAATTGAAAAATCAGCAGGGTGTGGAGGCACATGCCTGTGGTTTCAGCTGCTTAGAAGGCTGAGGCAGAAGGATCGTCTGAGCCCAGCAGATTGAGACTGTTGCCTGTGAGCATGCCACTGCACTCCAACCGGGGCATAGAGACTCTGAATTAAAAAAAAAAAAAAAAAGATATATATATATATATATATATATATATATATATGTGTGTGTGTGTGTGTATATGTATATATATACACGCTTGGCAAAAATGTGTGACTTTGTAGGTAAGAAAAAGCATGTAAGCCGGGCTCGGTGGCTCAGCCTGTAATCCTGCACCTTTGGGAGGCTGAGGTGAGTGGAATGCCTGAGCCCGCGGGTTCGAGACCGGCCTGGGCAACTTGGCGAGACCTCATCTCTACAATAAATCAAAAATTAGCCGGGCGTGGTAGCACGTGCCTGTAGTTCCAGCTACTTGGAAGGTTGAGGCGGAAGAATCACCAGAGCCCAGCAGGTCGAGGCTGCGGTGGCCGGGAGCGGCCACTGCACTCCAGTCTGGGTGACAGAGTGAGACTCCAACTCAAAAAAAAAAAGAAAAAGTGTGTAAAGAAAGGAAAGCTGGCTGGGCATGGTGGCTCATGCCTGTAATCCCAGCACTTTGGGAGGCCAAGGTGAGAGGATTACCTGAGCCCACGGGTTCGAGACCAGCCTGGGCAACTTGTTGAGACCTCATCTCTATAATAAATCAAAAAATTTGCCGGACATGGTAGCATGTGCTTGTAGTTCCAGCTACTTGGAAGACTGAGGCAGAAGGATCGCCTGAGCCCAGCAAGTAGAGGCTGTGGTACCGGGAGTGTGCCACTGCCCTCCAACCTGGCTGACAGAATGAGACTCCAACTCAAAAAAAAGGAAAGGAAAGTTGTGTACTAGAGAGTACATAAAAGAATACAGGCAAAAAACATAAGGATTAGCAAGCTATTACATTATTTGGGTGCATAGTTACACCCTTTTAAAAAAGTAATTGTCTAAGACATAATTTGACTGACTTCTGATTTGTCAACAAAAAGACTGTTGACTTCTGCAGTTGTTCTCTCCCATCCCCCCTTCCTTAAAGGCTAATAACAGTGCAGGTAAGTACACAGTTAAACTGATATACTGCTGTTGAATCTGCAAATTGGTACATATTCTCTAGAAAGTAATTTGATAAAATCACTGTCTTCTCTGAAAGAATATCTTCTTGAAATCAGTCACAATAAAATAACCCAAAATACAGGTTATGTGCATGAAATTGTTGCATGAATGGCGTATGTGGAATCTCATACATACGTGTGTGTGTATGTCATTTATAGCAAAGATGTAGAAATGATCTACCTATCTACCTTTAAAGGAATAGTTATGGATCCACCTCAAATCCTTTATTGAATGAACTGAGTTACAGTAAAATTAGTTGGAGGGAAAGGTGAAATAAAGAAAATCAGTGGGAGAAGATAATGCAAAAATATTAACAGAAATCTTGTGGGAAGTGGTAGTATTCTATGTAATATATTTCAAAATTATTCTATAATG